CGTATGTGAAGAACCACCAAAGATCACCAGCAATGTGAGGAAAATTAGCAATGGCAACCACCAAAAAAAGAACAGAGAGGGGAATATAAAACCTGACCCAAAGGAAATGATAGTCTAGTGAAAAAAAAAGCTGTATGCTACTTAACAACAAAGAGCCAACTGTTCTCAAATGATGTTAATTAGATGATGTTTGCTAAGTGAAAGAAACCAGTCCCCAAAGGGCAGCGACTGTATAATTCCAGTCCCATTTCATTCAAGATCAGGCATCATTTGCCAACGCAATGGAACTCGGAATAGTGGTGTCTCTAAGGGACCATGAGGGATGCTCCTGGGAGACGAGACATGCTTTATGTCTTACTCCAGGTGATGCTTACGCAGGTGTTCAACATGTGCAAATATTTGCTAAGGCCACACGTCAGATGTGTGCAGGTATGCCCATCACCTGTGCACTCTGTAAATGACATAAGAAAGTAAACTGGGATAGGTTGGCGAGGCAAATGCTGGTTTTGTAGTGAAATCAAACCAAGTTCTCACAGGCAAATGACAATGGATTTGACTTCAGCTCAGTTAGGATCCGTATGGGAGCTTAGCATTCCCCATCATTACCAGGAAATTTCAGCCCAGATGTGTTTGTGTGTGTGTGTGTGTGTGTGTGTGTGTGTGTGTATAACAAGCAACTTTAAATGCTGCATTTCCATGAACATAACCTGCCTGAACTGATAACAGTTTCATAACCAATCACACATGCTATGATGGAAGCAAATGTACCAGAATTATATTCACGGAACAATCACTAAATTGAGTGGCATTTTTTTTTCTAATGTTCTTTATGGATACTTGTTTTCCTGTCACTGTCATTTAATTTTATCTCTTTTTAAAAATAGCTTTCTTCTGGATTTTAAATCTGCAACCCATTTTTCTCCCCACAAACCAGCAATTTTGGAAAAGATGAAAAATAGCTTAATTTCAAAAAAAAATTCTATTAGGCCATTTAGTGTTCAAATCCTTAGTGCCCCCACCTCCACCCCATTTTTTGTATCTTTAAAAGAGGAAAAATTTAGGTACCTAATATTTAAAAAATCTCCACAGCAACTTTATATGAAACCATTTTAAAATTAGTCTATGTGCGTATAAAAATACACTAACATACAAACATATACACAACAATGGCAAACTAAAAGAAAGAATCTATTCTATTCTATATGACTTTCAACATCTCCGGGAAGTGTGAAAAGCTGAGCATAATTAGGGTGAAAAACATAACTGCAGATAGTCACGTGTTTTTTTCATACAGTTTAGATCCCGTTTGAAATATTATCAATATTATTATCAGAAGAAATAAGTGTTCTGAAATAATTACATAGGAAAAGAACTAAGAATCAACTTGGGTAGAGAGTGATGGCGCGTTCTTCTGGAAGGAGAAGCAAGTATAGAAGATTGATTTGAGGAGAGTAAAAATAATGGAGGAAAATGAAAGAGGTGAGGTGGATGCCAGGAAAGAGAACAAATGATTTCCTAAGACAGCAAGGATGGGTGACTCTTGGTTTTCAAGTTGGGCAATGACCACCTCTCTGTGTTCTACCATTTCCACCACCCAGATGCAGTGACCACTGAATACAAGCAGTTAGTTTGAATGACAGCTGAAGTCCAAAGGGGACAGAAAAACTAGCCAACCCTGGGACTCTCCAGCTCAGAAGAGGTCTTCATGTCAGGACCTGCACTGGCATGCCCAGCAGGCCCTGGCACGTGTGTTGGCACAAGTACAGAGAGTGCAGTCACAGAGGTGAGCCCGTGCTGTGCGCTGCGCCAGGGCTGAGGAAAGGTTCCGTGCAGAGTGCTCATTCCTCTCCGATACATGACATTAGGTGAAACATGTCTCCCCTCTCCTCAGCAACATGGATAATGTGTAATAGATATTATTTTACTAATATATACTTATTGAGCCCTGCACAGTGACTAAGACTTTGTTAACCATTCCAGGATGCAAAAACCAAAAATAAAAACACAACAAAGTATGACCCATCATCCCCAGAAAGAGCTTATAAATATGCCGGTATCAAGAAAATGAACCCATGGGCAACTGACACAAGAAGCAAAGTAGTCATATGCTCTTGGTTCTTAACACCAAGGTGTGTCTACCATGTACTTGGCAGAAGGGTATTTATTTTAAAAGGAAAAAAGGGGGTGAGAGAAAGAGATTTTCCTTTCCTAAGGTTTAGAAGGTGATCAATCTATAATAACAAAAGTGTGCCAAACCGGTTTGGCTCAGTGGATAGAGCGTCGGCCTGCGGACTGGGGGGTCCCGGGTTCGATTCCGGTCAAGGGCATGTGCCTTGGTTGCGGGCACATCCCCAGTAGGGGGTGTGCAGGAGGCAGCTGGTCGATGTTTCTCTCTCATCGATGTTTCTGACTCTCTATCCCTCTCCCTTCCTCTCGGGTTTAGAAGGTGATCAATCTATAATAACAAAAGCGTAATACGCTAATTAGATCGGACGTCCTTCCAGATGACCTTCCAGACGAAGCTGGGGCTGCGAGGGCCAAGCTCCTTGCACGAATTTCGTGCACTGGGCCTCTAGTCAGATTATAAGGGAGCTGGTGATTGTGGAGAGGCAAGGATTCATCCAGATCTTGCAAAGATAGGTTTAAATAGTAGCACACAGAAACTTCACAGGGCATTTAAGACAAAGGTGGGAGTAGTTTGGGTGAACAGATGCTAGAAGTCTTGTGAAATAGAAAAAAGGAGAGGGTCACGGAGGCCCATCGGGCTGTTCAAAGTGAAGTCCCTGAAGGCAGCCCTCACATCACACACTCATGCACCTGCACAGATGAAGGCAAAGCAAAGTGGAATGACAACCTATCCCGGCATTGACAAGTACTTGAGGGATGCCAAAGGCGACTGGCATCTCTGGATACCACTGAGTTGAAAGAAAATAGCCAAACAAAGTTGAGTTTCTGCTAGAAATTTCTGAAAGGAGGCTGAGTCCAAGAAAGATCAAAGTCAAGGCTCAGAACAGGCTTGCCTTGCAAACACGAAGACCTAACAGAGAGGTAACTTTGAAACAGAGCCTCCAGATGCCTGAAAAGCAAAGGAAGAACAGGCCCAAGGTCCTGAGCGCCGAGTCTAGGGCCAGACAAAATGAAAACCTGTGGCTGTATCTGGGGAGCAGCAAGAGCCAAATATTTAGTGCTTAGCAAGAGCCAAGTCAATTGTGCTGACAAAGGAAGTTTCGTTTTTGTTTCATTTAGAAGACATGACTGGCAGGCGCTTCGTATTTTCAAATCATTGCTTGTCTTACTCCTGCTTAAAACAGATATTTCATCAATCCTAATGTCATACTTGAGCCATATTCTCAAATATAAGACATCAGATGAAAAACTGCTCCCTATCCACCTCAATATATATGTGTATATATGTATATATGTGTACATATATACATATATACACATATATACACTGAGTGGCCAGATTATTATGACCACCCCATCAGTACAATGAACTGAATTAGCTATGCAAATAATAATAATATAATAATAATAATAATAATAATAATAAAACCTTGAGAGTATTTGCTTAGGAAGTTTTCAATATTCAGTATTTTTGGAAGTGTCAATGAAGAACTGATTGGGTGGTCATAATAATCTGGCCACTCAGTGTGTGTGTGTGTGTGTGTGTGTGTGTGTGTGTAATGGGTAGTTGATAATATTTCAATTATATGTAATTATATGACCACCTGTAATTACTGACCACCTGTGCCTAAGCATGGTGCATAAGGCTAATTTGTTATCCAATCTAGGGAAGTAAAAAATAGCCAAATATGGTCCTTTTCCACCGGAGCATATAAATGTTCTGGTAACAAGGAAATGAACCCCAGAAAAATGGACATAAGAAGCAACGTAGTTATATCCTGTTGGTTCCTAACAGCCAGGAATTTCTACTATGTGTTTGGCAGAGGATGAGAAGTGTGGATTTCATTCACAGAAATGACAGAGAAAGGGGAGTTCCAGCCCAAAGCGGGCAGATTTCCAGTTTCAGTAGTAGAGGCCTATAAGAGGTTAGACAGGTAGAGAGACAGACAGTCATGAACATATACACACAACACACATAACACACACACACACACACACACATACATACAATTATGTACATATTTTTGATTTACAAAAACATTCTGTAAAGGAAGAAACATCATAATCCTCCTTACATCTCACCACTCAACCATAGTATACAATGTATTAGTACATTCTCCTTCTTGTCTAGGGATATTTTAAGGTCTAGCACAGTGGTTCTCAACCTTCTGGCCCTTTAAATACAGTTCCTCATGTTGTGACCCAACCATAAAATTATTTTCGTTGCTACTTCATCACTGTAATGTTGCTACTGTTATGAATCGTCATGTCAATATCTGATATGCAGGATGGTCTTAGGCGACCCCTGTGAAAGAGTCGTTCGACCGCCAAAGGGGTCGCGACCCACAGGTTGAGAACCGCTGGTCTAGCATTTGTCAGATCAGAGAAGTGTGTATGGCAAAGCCGTTCAACAGCTTGATTAGATCCTGTTCCTTAGTTAGGATCCATTCTGAAAGGAGAGATTGTGACAACGGCTCTAATGACTCCATCCGATGAAAAAGAATTGGGGCTTGGCACCAGAAAGAGCTTGCTTTCCTTTTCTGTAAACAAGATTACAGATGATAATATACACATACGCATGCACAGCCACACTGTCATTACAAGTAATATTCTCGCATTCTACCCGAAAAATACTCTGTTGTGCTTTTGTGAAACACTCTGCAATTTGGCTGAAAATGAAACAACTCAAAACGAATGCTTAGCTTTGTGCTCTTGTCTGCAAGCCCACCATCTCAATTAAAAGAGAAAGAATTTAAGCCAACAGAGTCGGATCGTACTTCAATCAGAGCCCAGAGTAGTGAATAGGACGCTGGTTTTCTTTTAATTTATTTTATAGTGCTTACGATGATCCAAATAAGATAAAGGCAATCTAATATTCTCCTTAGAAGTATCTAATCAGAAAGCTTTCAAATGGTTTTCAATAAAATGATTATGCCTTCTTTTTCCCTAAAGCTGATGGCATTTTCAAAACGTCTCAAACACCATGCCTTGAGAATGTGCCATATGTTTTCATGAAACTGTGGCAATTATTCAAGTAGCTCTTTTACTATCATTCTCATGTTTCTCTGAATTTCCTAATTGCTGATAGCACTATATATGTCAGAAAATGGAGTCGGATCATTTTTATGAGCGTCACATCCGGTTTTGCATTTTCAAGTTTAGCACATCAAAGAAGTACACTGCAATAACCTAAACCAAACCTCAGATATATTTTGAGACAATTCAATCACTAGGAAGGCTTCTGAGGAAGTGACGAGTCAAGGTCAAACCTTTCAACCCAGGCTCTCTCAACCACTGCACTGCTGACATTTTGGGGCTGCGTACTCCTGTGTTGTAAGGAGCTGACCTGTGCCTTGTAGGATGTTTAGTAGCACCTCTGGCCTCTACCTCTGGCCAGTAGCAGCCCCCTCCTCCCCGGGTCATGATAATCAGAATGTCTGCAGATATTGCCAAATACCTTGGAGGCATGGGCAACATTATCCAGCGTGGGAAGTCTCCCTCATAAAGCAAATGCTCATCCGTCTGTTGGCTCAATGCTCTGGGTCTATGGAGCCCAGCGTGGGATGTCTCCCTCATCCGTCTGTTGGCTCAATGCTCTGGGTCTATGGAAGTTAACCAAATGCTAGAGAAATGAAAAAACTAAGAGCCAATAGCCTTTTACCTTTGAAGAAACCATAATCAGGAAGATGCCACTTTTCCACACTCTACCAAAACCAGTCTAGGCCTCAAATCTCTAAAATACACAAGAATTTGCTCTCTGTACCCTCTTCGCCGCTGATGTCGCTGATGTGCCTTATTCTCTAGTAGGAACTGGGGGAATTGGCAAGGCCAGGAATATCTGCTACAGTTAAGAATCCACTCTGCGTCCCAACTAATGTCTCACGTTCATGAAATATTTTGGATGCAGAGACACTTTGAACATCATAACAGGCTATGCATGGATTTATTCTGAGAAACACCAAGTTTCAATTAGTGTATCCCAGTCACCACTCACTGATCTCAGATCTTAGTTCCTGGGAGACATGAGAAACACCGTGGTCAGTGATGAGCGGACAGAGAACAGGGGGCATTTCTGGGAAGCATCTATGCCTATATACCTATATCAATACTGATAGCAGTACGGAGATGTAGGTTGTAGCAACAGATCCTAAGCCAAGACTCTCCCTAGAAGTACATGCACCAAGCTCTCCTGCTCAAGAATCTATAATAATAAAAGGGTAATATGCTAATTAGACCGGACGTCCTTCCCTACGACCTTCCGGACAAAGCCACGGCGGGCGGGGGCTAAGCCCCTTGCATGAAATTCGTGCATCGGACCTCTCGTTTTCAAATAACTGGCTAGTAAAATCCTAAGACTGAGCACGAGAACAAACTTCTGGTCTTGAGTCCCTGCCAAAGCAGAGGAAATGATACACGAACCTGTGTGCGGATTCAGAAGGATGCTTCCGGGCGGGATGCCTGTTGCAGCTTCCAGTGGAAGGAGGATGTAGCTGGTGCTGCCTGGACCGACCTGGCCCCCCATCCCATTCTCCGGGTAGGGCACGCAGCCAGGAGAAGTGGCCGCCACGCCCGGGACCAGGGGTGTGCTCTGGAGAGGCGGATGGGTGCGGGACAGCGATCCCGAGGAGCCGGCACTGCTGGACGACTCAGAACCTACCACAGAGATACAAAGCGACACGTCATTCATCAAGGAGAAGAGGACAAAAACCACAGCTCTGGGTCTAAATGCTCCTTTAAATAATCCATCATTCAAGAGTTCGAGGTGAGTGCTGCAGGGCAGGAATAACGAATGCCCCTCCCACATTTTGGGCTCATATTTTATTGAGATATCTGCTACACAGTTTTCAGATGTGTCAATTTCCTTAAAAGCGAGATTAAGAATGAACACTCTCTTAGCCTTCGCACATGCCCTTAGGGTGATTGACTGGTAAATGGTACCCTAAAGCTCTGAACTCAGTGCCTGAAAACTCCCATCACCCCGAGTAATTAAAGCCATGGGAACGTCTTACTGGAGTTATGAGACTAAAATGACTGAAATAGAGCTTCAAGAGACCAGGTTAAGGAGGAGTCCTGTGATATGCTAATCATACAGGTGGTTCTTAAATACTGGTGCTTCAACATCCGCAAAGTTAAAATGTGAAGGCACAGAGCTGGAAATAATCTTTCCCCCCAGATGTGAGTAGAAGAAGTGGATCATTCCTATTGGGAGTGCTTAAGCTCTGCACTGTAGTTCACACGTTTGCAGAAGTCTTATTAATATAACCAACAGGTGGACCAAGGTGGGTTTGGTCTTCATGACAATCATGAAGCATTCTTTAAGTGACACAGAACAGTTAAGTCATTGGGCATGCCTGGGGGCTGTGGCTTTTTCACCTGTAGGTGACTAGGTCAGTGTGCAGAAGCTCCCAAGGTGGACTCTAGCCATAATCATCTCCCTCTCCTTTCTCTGGGACAAAGAAACAGTTGCTACATCCGTCCCATTAGGCAATAGGGCCCTTCACTGCAACCAGAGTCAAGTAGCTGTGGGGACCTTGACCATGACTGTTCTGGGCATCAACCAGATTATTAACCAGAGCTTCCAAGAGAAAACACACCAAGCAAAATTTAAATATCTGTGAATTTAAGCCAATAAGTGATTTGGACGCTACCATAGATTGCAAGAATGCCGTACAATACCATTTTTAAATTATTAGCACACACTTTTGACTTTGGACATGAAAAAATGCATTCTTCTATGGCATTAAAGGTTAACATATACAACACATATATTCACCTTGTTTTAAAGATTCTAAAATGTACCCTTAAACTAAACTGGGATTCTTCGAAAATAAGGGATAGGAATACAGCAGGTTGCTGCAGGGAAGAGGGGCCAGTGGAGAGTGCTGGTTTCTGAGGAGGAGGATAGTGACTTTTCTTGAGAATTCAGTATGTGTGAGCACCTGGATAAACCCTAATAATAAGTACTATTACTGCCTATATGGATAGGGAAATTAAAGCATAGAGAAGTTAGGTAACTCAAGTGGACTCACAGAGCTAGGAAATTACAGAACTAGGATTTGTTCTTGGCGGACTAATATAGATTTAACCAGGACCTAACTGCCTCCTAAAAGCATGCATATGAGGATACCATGGACTACCACAGATGTTCTCAGTTGGGAATTTTCTCTTTTTCCATGACTTGGTTCTTAATATTAATAAAGTTTCAGATTAATTCAGGATGCTCCAACTAGCCAGTTTAAAAATACTAATGTAGTTCTGAATAACATGAGGGGGAAAATAAAGGATCTACACAGAATTTTGAAAATGCTAGGAGTAATTCTGAGACCACCTCACTGATATTATGACCCAGAAATCACAGCCCCAGTGCAAACTGTAGAGTTTGAGGACTTGCCATGTATGATCTGATGCTGCAGTCCAAGTTTGACACTAGTAGAGACTCAACAACAACAGTAATCATACAATAAAACTTCTGACCCCCAACATGTAAGGTCATATAAAAATGATCATGCCTATGTCTGGGCGGAGGGGATACACCGTGAGAAAGAGCTGGAGCCAATGAGGCATGTCAGAACTCTGATTTGAGGTGTGAGCTAGGGAGGACTTGGGAGCCATCCCTTTGAAATGAGATCAAGAAGAATAGTGCCCTTGTCTGTCAGCTTCTGTGGGAGGGTAAGAACCTGACTTTGATAAACACCAAGTAGCAAACACAGATGGTGCAATCACATTGACCAATCACCTCTCTAACGTCATCCAGCACTTTCCACCAGCTCACTAATGCTCTCCAGCCCTCTGTTTCAGCAGGGTGGAGTTTAATCTCCCTCCCCTGTTGTTATAGTCTTAACTCCTATTGCAATAATTATGAGATAAAGTCTTCCTTGCCTGCTTAACTCATCTGATGCAATTTTTCTTTTTTTAAGGACCCTGAAACGTAAGTGTTCTTTTTCTGAATTCAAGAAAATGTTTCTAGATCCAGGGGTCAGAATTCAGTATTACAGGGCAGAAGAAAATATCTAGGATGCATTAGTGTAATGATGAAAATAAACATGCAGAAGAGGAGTGGCAGCAAGAGGAAGTGTCTTGCATTGGCGTCAAAAACACTCTAACTTTCAACAATAAAGAATTTTAAAAAATACTCTAGAATGTAGACTAGGAAGGGGGCAACTAGAATGGCCTTGCGTCCAGAAAACAAAATGCCAGGCCATATACAATAATTAAAACAAAACAGAAGGCTATCTATTTCTCTAGAACAGTTGTTCTCCAAGCATGGTTTCTGAACAAGCAATCTGTGCTCAAGAAATCCTTCACATGACACTGATGCAGCTAAAGGTGAGAACCCCTACTGTGGAGGTCCAGAGGGAGGGATGATAGAGAAATAATGGAGAGAAACAGGGGTCATACTCCTATTCTTCAACCACATCACCACTGCCAGGAAACTGCTGAGGTTGCAGCACAAGCACCATTCAAATACTCACCACAAGGAGGATGTAATGACATAGTGATGTCATCCACCCCCAAGGGTGTGTTCGGGACATCTGTTAGGTGGCCACGTGCTCCGTGTGGGGGATGCAACAGGGAAAAGGCAGCCCAGGCCCCAGAGACTGTGCTTGTATGTTCAGACTTCAGTACTATGCTTTCTCCGAAATGTAGAAAAACGTGTTTCCCACTTGGAAAACGTCCTATTATTATCTATACAAAGCTGCAACCAACTAGAGAAGAGCACCTGACATGGTTTCTGAGAGGTAGACGGACTGTTTGCAAGCCCACTGTGCACAATGAGGTCAAAAATTGGAAACTTGTGCTGCTCTGAAGTTTCACGACAGTAGAACTGACAGCTTTGCTTCATAAAAACCCGCTTGGGAAACTGTGAGTTTGTTTTGACAGCCTATCTTGATGCCTTTATTATTATTATTTTACTTTTTTTTTTTTGGCTTTCCATTCCTGCACCTTGACAAGCTTTCAAATGGAGACACTTAGATTAGAAAATGTCTGAAGCACTTACAATTTCTGACCATTCTTCAGAGAACATGGCATTTTAGCATTCTTGAGGTGTTTTAAATGTTTCCAAAAACCTTTGCTTTGGAAGGGATTGGGGGTTGGTGCATGGAGAATGCCGATTAATTTAAAAATCGTAAGAGCTCTTTAGGTGTACTGGAATTTTCAAGTGCGCCATTTAAGGTACTTGGTTTCTGCCTTTTAAGAAGATGTAAAACTATTAAACCTTTCTTAGTTTACAAGTGCTTAAGTGCACCACAGTGGATTTTCTTGACTTCAGTTGCTGCAATAGTGGGATATAGCAAGAGCAATTAATTAGAGTTAGAAATCAAGAATTCTCCAATTGGTGAATAAAAATGACAGAAGGCAGGGTGAGCTCACCTGAATCGTTCCAAGAAGTAAGATATGTACATTTAAAGGAGTGACTATGACTAAATGCTATTAATTTTCTGCCTATGTAAGAAAACACGAGATAATTTCTCAGGAGGCATTTGTCAACAACATAATTATGTTAAACGATTAGCATAATGAGCCTGGATTTCATAGAACACCCCCTAGAGTGAGTGTGATGCTTGGTTGGGAAAGTACTCACAGCCTAGGGCAGCCCATGTCTAACCTCTGGCTGGTGTTGCCCATTCACCATTCTCCTCCTGTCTCTGGCCTGCCACTCACCTGCGACCCCAGGCCCTGAATGCACCCCCAGTGCACCCTGAGACCCAGGGCCTGCTAGGGAATCCCAGTACTCACCCCCACCCTAGCTGAGAGTCAGGGCCTCCCCACTTCTGAAGTAAAACCCAAACCAAACCAAAACAATGACAGTACATACTAGACTAAAATGGTGATGGAAGGAGACCTGACTTGGGGTGATGAGCACCAATACAATATACAGGTGATGTGTTATAGAATTGTACACCTGAAACCTATACAATTTTACTCACCAATGCCACCCCAGTAAATTCAATAAAAATAATAAATACAAATAAAAACTTAAGTTCATGGAGTGCTACTGAAGGGTCATCTGTTACCTTCCTGAGATTTTATGAGTTTTTTTTTTTTAAATATATATTTTATTGATTTTTTTACAGAGAGGAAGGGAGAGGGGATAGAGAGTTAGAAACATCGATAAGAGAGAAACATCGATCAGCTGCCTCCTGCACACCCCCTACTGGGGATGTGCCCACAACCAAGGTACATGCCCTTGACCGGAATCGAACCTGGGACCCTTCAGTCCGCAGGCTGACGCTCTATCCACTGAGCCAAACCGGTTAGGGCTTTATGAGGTTTTTAAAATCATAAATATTTGAAAGTAATTTGTAAACGATGGTGAGAGATTCTTGGGAAAAGAAGAGTTAAAAATGGAAGACCATGTGGGGTGTTTTGCAGACTCGTGAAGCCCATGGTGTTGATGCTTCCATCAGTTTAAATTTGTTTCAAGTTAATGGTTCGAGACCTCTCATCATTAAGAACTCCCAGAGCCTGCCCATGCAAACTTGAACTACCAGACTCAAAAGATCACTATTCACTTAGAAGAAAAAAACACCACCAAAAAACAAAAACAAAAACAATAAAACCCAGCTGCATGGACCTGGCTCCGTGGAAACTCTAAACCTTTGAGGACCACTCTCCTTATCGGCAAAGCAAGGATGGAAACATGGCACGGCAATAAGCAAAATAAACAGGAACTGGTGCTTACTGAGGCCTAACAACCTGCCAGGTATCGCTTTGGGTATATTAACTCTTGGTTTTAACAATTACTTTGAAATATTGGTGCTATTATTCTTCCCATTTCTCAGATGAGAAAACTGAGGCGCACATGGGGTAACTAGCTTGCCCAGGATCACACTAACATCATACCAAAACAGGAATGGAAACAACTAATACCAACATTGCTATAATGTAGCTTTATGGAATAACTCATAATATTAGATTTTTAAAAAGCCAACCTTCACAGGACAGTTGCCCTGTGCACGTGCCTTGGTAACCGTTTTTAGGGCAATCATTGAAATGGAAGTTAAAATAGTCTATTGAGGGGGGTTCGAGTCATATTCTATTATAACCTACATGTTATAGATGAGGAAACTAGAGATTAGAGAGGTTAATAATTGGACTTTCACACCCAGCTAGCCAGAGGCAGTACTGGGATTTAAACTGCACCTTCTGACCTCAATCTATCCCAGATTCATGTCATCATCATTAGTTGACTCAGAGCCAGAGGGAAGGGCGCCTTTACGGCTCGGGTGGACTTCAGAAAACACCACGGGACTTAAACCCCTCCAGGGCTAACTACCTGCTTTGGACAGCTTCCCGGTACTCCTGGTACTGGACGTGCTGTCACCCCTGGTCAGCACCGTGATGCCCCCAAAACTCGCCGTCTTGGTCATGGCGGGCTTGAGATTGCGGTTGGAGCTTTCGGAGTCCGTGCTGCTCCAGGCCCTTTGGTGGTCGCACCACTTGAGTTCGTTCTCCGAGCTGCTCTGCCGACTCCCCGACGTCCTCCCCGAGCCATCTCGGTTGCCCCTGGAGCACGGCCATCAGAAAAAGGCACGGGGACAGTGTTACATCCCAGGCGCAGTCGTGGGCACGGAGTGGGACCTTTCTCCGAAGAGTCGTCTACAGGAGACCCTCCCCGTCCGCCCTCCCCAGCAGACCTGCTGCCTCCCCAGCAGGGCCACACGTGCCTCACGGATGGCAGACGGGTCACGCATCACACATAACGTGTCACAAACAGAAAAACACCCAACTGAAAGGCCGCACGATCCCTCTGCCGGTGAAGGAGAAGCAACTAGAAAAACATGGCGGAGAACATAATTGGAGACTTCTGTTGTGGAGGGGAGGGAGGATGAAGTCTCCGGACCCACGTCAACAAGGAATTGGAAACACCTGGGATCTTGAATGACCCTCAAAGCCACGCCCACCAAGGAAGAGTTTTGTCTCCCCTTTGGCATTAAGTAATTGGACTCTGGGAAGGGCACACAGCTCCAGAAAGGCCCTGTATTCATTCATGTGTTTTCTAACGTCATGAGCTACGTGTCTGAATTCATGAAAGCTTTGAGGGACAGTCCAGAAATCACAGGAACTCCCGGTTGGCTGATGGTGAGACTGTTTCCCAGTGATTCACCCTTCACAGGCAGAGGAAAGAGCCTCTTAATCCTTTTCACATGGAAAAGCCGGTGCGAATAGCAACAAGGAGAGACATTCCAGGGGGATCCATGGAAATAACAAACAAACAACAAAAGCTGCAGAGGTGGAATAACACATTTGTTCAAAATTCAAATAGAAAAAAAGCGGATGTGTTGGAAGAGGGCCAATAGCCACAAGTGAATTTTCAAGACTCCAGAGAATCTGTAAGCAGTGTACCAAACGGCATGTCTTTTCTAGAGAAAGTGGGTGAAATTTGCATTTTCATTGGTTTCCAATCTGCTTAAAGAGTAACTTCATATTTTCAAAGCCTTTTCTGCGGTTGGAAATAATGGATCATTAAAATATTCTTAGATTCCCATGGATTATAAGTAAATGGGGACATACATCGCAGGCAGTAGATATCACCCCTCTTTTCATAGGACTGTGATGTGACATACTCCAGCTTGATCCAAATCTCACAGACGGGACCATTAGCTTTGCTGATCAATATTCTTCTAAAGATAATAATGGACTTTGGGAAGCTAGAGGTATGCATATCTGATTGAAACATGCGCCAAATTGTACAGGAGGTCCAGAGAAAATGTTAGGTTTTACTTCAACTTTACTAAGCTTTTTCTTTTATTTCATGAAAATGGAAGGAGGTAAATGGACCCAAAGATAATAAAAATGACGTAGCTCATCTGTGATAGGAACTTTGTAAAGTGAGGGGAGGAAGTGGAACAGAAAACTCACAAAACAAAACCCGCTTCGTGCCCTGCTGTCCTTTGTTAATATTTCCTTACAGACATGCTCTCTGTTCTCAGGGCCTTAGGACCGGTTTTAGAAACAAGGACCATCTTTAAAAAGACAAGGCTGCGAGCAGGAAGTCTCAAACACTCACCAATGGCCAGGTGACTTTAGTTCTTAAAATCCTTTGAAATTTAAGAAAGCCAGCGGAGGTAGCCTGGAGGAAAAGTACCCTTTTCTGCTAGAAAGAGTTTTTCCATCCCCGATTGTCTCCCTCTCAATCTCCAAATTCAACCTCATTCTTTTCCCGTTGAATTCTGGTTACTTATACCCATCTTTGACCAAGCCTGCCTAAATAGTATTTAGCACCTGTAAATGTACCAAGGATGTGACAGTAATCTCAGGTGTAGCTAATTTGGAATGTTTATTATCAGAAACATTTGAGTTGGTTCTTACCTCAGCAGACAGGGTGCGTCAGAAGGAAGTTCTCCATGTGGGGGTGATCATAACTAATTCTGCTTCAGTGGCCCCTCTCCCTGTTAGCTCTGCACCTCCCTGGGAGGAATCCAGATGTCCCCTAAATGCCAGTGTGGGTGGCCCTTTCTCTGCAAAGGAGGTGTCCACCACTATTCCTGGGTGCAAGCTAGGGTGCTGTAGTTTACACCCTTCCCTCTGGCATAGCTGTTTCTAGAACATATTGTAGTTCCTCTAGACTTGTGCTATATCCCCTGGCTAATAAGGCAACCTAAGATTTTCTTAAGTTCTACTTCTCCACCAGCACAAGTCATCATCCTAAATCAAGATCTGTGCATGTTAAAAGAGGGAATTTAAGCCCTGGCAGGTGAGGTTCACTTAGTTGAGAGTTGTCCGGTGCATCAAAAGGTCACGGGTTCAAGCCCCAGTCAGGGCACATTCTCAGGATTGTGGGCAGGATTCCTAGTAAAGTTTTCTTTCTTTATTTTGCCTGTCCTACAACAGAGATGAATCCTAATATTCACAAAAGAACTAACATATTAATATATGTATTAGGTATTGAGTGTATAGAGAGGACTGTGTATATCCTTAGTTTCATAATGAATGCTAGAGGCACATTTAATAGAGTAGTGATATAGGTATGATCCCTCTGTTTTAATGGAGCTTCTAGCCTAGCTCACAACTTAAAAATATATAATTTATATTATAGTTACAAAATTATAATTATATTATATAATTTAATATTATATATAATTTTATATACACATATAAAATTACCCATAGCCCACAAAAGATCTTGTCTTAAGTAGTTCATTATAATTGGAAGCAATCTCTTATTTTTCTTTAGAAATAAAATCTGTTCTTGAAAAAAATACTGTTTGAAATAGCATGATGGATAGTAATAGCTAAAAATCAAGAACTCAAATGGAGTTATCAATGATTTGTTTCCAGTGTTGGGAATGTATACACAATTGCAACCTGTCAGAGAAATTTTAACTCTGTAATTCACCGAAGTTGATTTGGGAATGTTAAATCAGTGTGCTTCTAAAGTTAGCCCTTGAGAAAATAAAAACAATCAGAAAATCAAAGGAAGACCGCTAAAGGATTGTATCAAAGTAATGGTCTCCCAGTCCTGGATCTCACATTATCCAATATGGCTTCCACGCTAGCTCTGTAAAAAGCTTTACAAAGAGATAACTGAACATATTTCATTTCATGAACAGAGATAGTTTACACTAATACACTTATATTTAACATTGATTCTGCCACATAATCTGAAAACACAGTTTTAGAAAAGTAAACCATACCAACCGAAAGAGCTGTCTTTTCTTATAGGTCTCATTGCATATGTTACTGTCTTCCAAGAGCCTACTGGAAATGAAAAACATGATTTTTATGATATAAAACCTGAAGGTAATAAATGGAAGTGTACTCTAGTATAATACACCTGTCTTGCAAATCAATCCCATATACTGTTTTATTTGTATGACATTTAATTTAGCCATAATAAATTAATGTCAGTGTGATTCTTCCCTAACCTAGGATTCAAACACTGATGTTAGTAAGGGAAAGGGAAGAGGTGAGGAAATAGAGGAAATAGAAGAGTAGAAGAAAAGTAATTGATATAGATGTAACAGATATTTAATTAAATATATTAGTTGTGACTATTTTTCTTGAGTAATATTTAAGTTATTCCTTATTTCTTGAGCATAGTGAAATATTGACATTCCAAAGGCAGGTATCTAAGAGATATATTTATTTTTGTAAGGAATCCATTCTATTAAATTTTTGCTTTATGGGAACATCAAGACTTTTTCATATATGCAATGTATATATGTCACCAATTATTGTATTGATGAATACAATCTAATTTGAATAAAAGGGACACAGTGTATTAGCAGTATGTTTGTACAAAACACAAATAAATGAATAAAATTATAGAATAAAGTAGGAGAGAATGATTGGTTAGAAGGCTAGGGAATAAGATTTCCCACTAAACTAAATTATAAATGCTCACTTAATCATTTTGGTAAGGATAGAAAATTTTGGAATTATTCAGAACTATCCCTAAGATGTTAATGCTTGTCGATTCTTAACTGTACTGTAAATAAGAAATACCAGTCTGAATCTGCATAAATTTTAAAGTTGTTTTTGAATGCTCATGTAGACTTGTTTTCTAAGTTCATCTTTTCTTCCAAAATAAGATTATTCAATTGAGGGGCTTAGTTACTTGAAGATTTCTAATTGCTAATATAAACGATGGCATTCCCCCCGCCCCCAATCATTTCTAATGCCCAGTTCAAACTTTCTGTAAGTCTTGGAATTTAATCAAACAGACTGCATTTTAGTCAATTTTATAGGGGCCACCCATTGAGCTGACACCTGAAATAAAATTAACCGCTACTTTTAAAATAAAAGTAACTGCCACTTTTAAAATAACCATATTTACATTCCAAGTTACCCATTAATAACAGCAAATGTGGAATTCTTAATTCCCCTTAAAAATCTGCAATTAAATTAATGGAGCATTTTAATACCTATGTCAGTTTAAAACTATTTTAAAAAGGTATAAGCTAAATTTGAAAAATTTCTGCTCTTCTGCTCAAGATTTTATATAAATGTTGTAACCTATTCATTTCATAGCAACCACCTCCTCCTACTTACTCCCAAGCCAAGTGTACTGCTAAATCCAAACTAGTTTAGATAAGATTCACAAGTTAGGCCTTTCATAAAGACTGGTAGGTTATTTAGAATGAGAAACATTAAACAATAGTGTTCTAATTATTATTTATAGAGCTATATATAATAATGGAGCAAAGAAGTAGTTATTAATACCAAATATACAAGTGCTTTTAGCAGCCTCGTTAATAAGCCAATGAAACTGCAAGTTCCTCTATGGTCTCAATATTTATACTTTTCCATGCCTGGTGAAAACAGTAGCAATTACAACTGTTGGAAGACCAGAAATTGAGACTTTAAATAGCGAAAACATTTAAACTCATGTTTGGAAGTAACTGAATTTTTTTTTCTCCATGAAATAATGTTTAGACATGCTAAGTAACATACATGTGTACATATATAGATGTGTACGCATAGATATATGTATTTGTTGATACATATATTTAAGCACACGCTTATATATGCAATGTATATCTCTATGAATATACAGGACACACATGACACACTTTGTTCCTCTAAAGACACGAAAAAAGCAAATTTCATTTTACCTGTTTTCCACAAAAAGGCTTTCCTGGGAGCAAACTGACTGAAAAATAAAGAAAGGATTGTATCAGAGGTTCTGGATATGCTGAAGGGATCCCAAATCCTTGCCTGATTTAAAAACTAATTTCCCCCTCCAAGGGGAAAATTTTTAAGAAGACATATGTACCATTTTTAGAAAAAGAAATGGAAATAAAAAAGGAAAAAAAAATAGGTTAGAGTCAGAGCGGAAACCATTCTCATGCAGCACACAATACTTTTCCATCAGAGCACCTCCAGGTTTCATATAGATTGAGCCCGTTCAGCGTCAAGGTCAGAAGAGAGACGTGGACTGAACTGCCTGCCGGAGAAACCTGGGACCCTGGGATCCCGAGCTAGCGGGCTCCTCTGGGGCTGGGGAGATGCAGCCGCCAAGAGCCCCGATGACAGGTTCAAATCAGGGCAGAGCGTGCACGCTTGGCACGATCCACCCAGGAGGGGAGAGCGCAAAGCCAGGATCCTGCAGTTATCACCGGCAACGATACACTCTCGGGATATAAACAGATTGACGGCAAGGCTCTTACAACTGAAGAGATGCCATCAATCAATCTTAAGGGGGAGGGGGGAGCAGAAGACAAATGAAAATGAAATGAAGCTAATTAAAAAAAACACATCAGCCTCCATGGAAGATTTCTTAGTTTTTCACACAGAAAACCAAATGACTTTCGTCTTAGCTTCTCGTGTTTATACACAATGGAGAGAAAATAAAATTCCATGATCATTACATGAGAGGGAAAGGCAGATCAAATTAAATTTCAGCAACAGAAAAAGAGAAGTCCAAACAAAAGCTGGTGCACTGGTCCTATAATATAGTGACTGTGTTTAGGAATTAACAGAAAACCATTTTCAAACGGTTGAGTTTCTAAACATAAACATATCCACCATACTTCAGAGTCCATTTTCTAAATGATGGATAAGTGACCTGCTAAAGGAATAAATTGAGGTTTAACAGGTCCATTTTAAGAGAGACTAAAACTAAAAAATAATAGTGACCTTTCAATATCAAATGCTTGAATTCGAAGATGCCGTTAATGTAACCACTAGTCAGAGCGGTGAGCAGGATATTGGTTTCTCGGTACTTTTTACTGGGAAATCATATCCTTCCACTAAAACCAAAGGGCTAACTTTGGGCGTAATGTTTCCTCAGTGGCCTGAGCACCCAGGTGAGGGCATCTTTAGAACCACTCCTCAAAGTCAAGTGTGCCCAAACCTTATTTAACAAAAGGCAAAAACTTTAGTCAATTTCCAAAAAAACCTTTTCAGAAAATATCTGTGTGGTTTTTTTTTTTTTAATTTGTATTTTATAAAGGGAAACAAATACAAATGGTGTGCCACTGACATTATTCCTATGAAGGCGTGTTTACAGTCCAGGAACTATCTTGCTGTCTTTATGTCCTTTAGTTTGATTTTGCTACTGGCTTGAGTCAAGTCATGGGAAGGGAAAGAAAGTGAGATTGTCTCCGAGATACATTATGAATTCCGTTCTTTACTACAGCTCAGCTCTGGCTGGGAAGAGGTCAGTTGCATTTACAATGTTCTGGCTGGGTTTCGAAATTACTGAAACTCTACCACTACTTTGAAGGAGTTGATCAAAGACATTCTGACCTCTTCACATGCCTGAATCTAATGGCATTTTGGGAAAAGTTAAGCAGCCTGAACTCTTTGAATTAAAAAAAATAATAAAGCACCTACAAGTTAATAATACCTTTCCTTAAAACATATCCCAAGAGTACTTTTTCTGATTTTTGTGGAAAGGTCATAAAAATCATCTCATCATCCCTCCACCACATTTTCATAAATAACGCAGAAATGGCTATGGGCCGTGATTCAGTAGCTGATGCATATACACTTTCAAAAATAAGTAGTATTAATAACTTGCACATTTTAATAGCAGGGAAAGGTAAAATTGTCACAGGGATTAATGCAGCATTCGAAGCTGTCACGCACTCTCAGATATAAAGGGCTCATTTTTTTTTAAAGAGAAAATGATTTTGCCTAATGGGCTGCAGATTTCTCTCCCACATCCCACCCCCAATCCAGGTGGCACCATGTGCCCTTATCAGTCCTCGCAGAGGAGGAATCCCAGAACATGAAAGCAAGCCAGGATGTGCTCCGCCCCGAGGCCCTGTTTACACATCAATATCCTTCAGAAATCACTTTCCAGACAAAACATGTCTTTTTCAAATATATTGCTTTCTTAAATGAACCTTCCCCAAACTAGCAGCATTGTACAGGATTCATCAAGAAGCCAGCTGAAGGAAATACAAGTTATACTTCAAACATGTCTGACTACCAAAATACACTTATGTATTATTATTTGAGAACTAAATTGTTCTGTGTTCTGACTTACAACAATTGAGTTCTCAAATAATGAATACATTTGCCTCAAGGTGCCAAAGTTCTCAAGCTGAATTTGAAAATCGTTTTCTGGAAAATCCCAGAGTAACCTGGATATTCTGATGGTGCACCTATGTACAAAAAGCACACACACACACAAGATACACACACACCTTAGACATCACAATACATTTCATCTGTAAACTATCAAGAATGCATCAAATTTTAAAATCTATTTGAATTTTGCTGACGTGCAAATAGCAGGAAATGTTTCTCTAGAATTCTCCATTGTGACTTCAAGTAGGGAAAAAAAAGGCTCTTAAGTATATAAATAGATCAACTTGTTTGAATGACTCCACTATTTAATAATTAGCAAGGAAAACTGGCTTTATTAGCTGTTTTTAAATTATGAGAGCACTATATTAAAGACCAGCTAAGAAAGAGATTAGATGTCTATAACTTAGTTTCCTTATGCTGGGTTCTTTGCATTTGTTTTATAATTGATTTCCTAGAGTTTAATTATTATCCGTGGACCTCAACAGTCTGAGCAGCAGCAATGATCCTTTGGGAACCTGGAATTGCAGAGATGAAGGGTTATTTAAAGTGTCCTGTCTTTGTATAAGTGATAGGAGGATTTGTTACTATATGTAGGGTGTCCCCCCAAAATGTATACACACTTAACAGCTGATAGCTCAATTGATGTTTCTTTCTTTTCAGTATTAATGAATGAATAATTATTCAAAGTATGTATACGTTTTTGGGTGACACCCATATATTCAAGAAAGTTCATATTACTGTTATGTCCTTGAGTTTGTGTTAACAGAGGAGGAACAGTAATATCCTGTTAATGAAGGGTAACCCCCAATGATCCCCACTCTTGGGATTCACTATCTTGTGTAGCATATCTCTCTCCTGGGACCATGGCCGGAGTATGGGTTCAACAGGATACAACAGAAGGGGAGGCATGTCACTTCCAGGATTAGGTTATAAAAGACTGTGTCTTCCATTTCAGGCCAACTCTTTCCTCTTGGGTCACCTGCACTGGGGGAAGCTAGTTGCCATGTCTCACAGACACTCAACAGCCTATGGAGAGGCCCGCATCATAAACATTGAGATCTCCAGCCTGTAACCTGCAAGGAACTGAAGCCTTGCAGCATGTGAGTGAGTCTGGAAGCACCTACCCACTCATCGAGCCTGCAGATGACTGCAGCCCAGCTGACAGCCTGACCTTAACCTCGTGAAAGACCTTGAGCCTTGAGCCAGAACCACTCAGCTAAACCACTTCCAGACTCCTGACACCATGGAAACCCTGAGATAAGAATTATTGTTTTTGTTTTAAGCTAAAAAATTTGGGGAATATTTTTTGTGCAGCAATAAAAAGCTAATCCAGGGAACGTCGGTGGTATGACTGCATTGTCTCCGTATAGAGTTATCAGATGGGGGAGGAAGAGTGGCCCTTAGCCTTTACAGGATGATGAAAGTTATAAGAATCAAATAAACACTAGAGACCTTTTCCTTAGAAAAATGCACATCTGCTCATGAACATAGCATTTTGCAGATGATTTCTGGGACTTCAATCTCCAAAGCAGTCTATGAACCTACTCTGAGTACAAGATGCCAATTGAAAAACCTCTTCCCTAAGAGATCAGGGGAAGAGCAGTGTCAGAAACAAGGCTGAATTAGGAAAGCCAGACATGCTGGCCACCAGAGCGCCCGTCAAAGGAGCTCACACCGCTACTCTCGCAGAGAGAAGAAGCCATGGCCTTTAAAGGAGGATGGCGAATGATCGCATGGAATGGGCTGGCTCGGCAATAGCTTGCCATTGAAGCTCTCTCACATGTGAGTCTGCTGTTATTTTTTTAAAATGTCAGTGCAGCATGTGACCATAGAGGCCTTAACCAGTTAACTGCCACGATATTTTGAATTTAATTAAAAAAGGTCCACAGCTTGCATCTGTAGATGCTTTATGGTGTACAAATGGTTAAACATCAACACTTGCCTCCAATCTTTAACCATGGACTCAGGTCCTTTACAATTAATCTGTTTAATAGGGTCGTAGGGAAGTCATGCTGACCCTTTGACCCCGTAATGACCTCTTCCTAGATGCGAAGGACAGGCAGGCATCAGCGATGCTCTTTTCTGTCACCTGGCTCTTGAGTGTCTGGCAATGTGGCACAACTTTGGGGAGAAAACAAGCATAATGTTGCTTGTACGTTGTCTGGGTGATTTGTATTTGCTTTTGAATTAGTATTTACTTTTGAACAGAAGTGTAGAGTAAAGAGGGAAAATGGAGAGAGAGAGAGAGAGAGAGAATGAACTGGTTTTCAGAAAAGTGTCTCTCCATGAAGGTCACCAGACACGAGCATGCCACCTCCAGGCCACAGGAGGCCTCCTTACACTAGCAGGACTAGCACAGATCCTCTCATTACTTCATTCTGGTACCCAGCAAACACAACTGAAGGCCTTCCAGGTGTCAGGCTGCACCATCCATAACTCTGACCATAATAACAATCTAGTCCACACATGTACAGAATCTTCTAGTATTGTACCCAAACATCATCCAGCTATGGCTACCTCCATCTCCGTCTCTTCCACTCTCCTCATTCTAGAGTTCCAAGCCAGAGTATTCACTCATCACAGTTTGATTGGGAGATATCCAAGAAAGGCAGAGGGGACCTGGGAGAGATGCCAGAAACCTGTATAAAGGTGAAGGGAATGGACAGCTAGTGTTGCTTCCTCTGCAGCTTCATGCTAAAGGACCCAGCACCGGCTGGAGGTCCCGGAACTGGCTTGGGCTAGAACCCACTGAGGACAGCAGGCCTCCTTCAGGCTGAGCACGGAAGCCTAGGTCACTAGGCTGGCCCTGAAAGAGCCTCCAGGAGCAAATGGCAACAGGGGGTTAGATGCCCCACCTGACTCAGTGGATCCGGAGGTGTTGGCCCAGTCTACACAAAGGAGCCCACACCTCTACTTCTGCAGACGGCAGACCCAACATGATAGGAGGCTGCCAGATGATTTCATGGGATGGAATGGCTTTGGTAATTGCTTGCTCTTCTCATTTTCTTACATTTATATCCAGTCCTTTTTTTTTGGTACCTATTAATTTTTACCTAATTTAATTGCATTTTGTTTTGACCAGAGTGAGTAACAGGGTTTAAAAAATCCCCACCACATCTTATTTGTAGAAATTTGAACAAAAGAGGTTGTTTTGTCATCATTCCCTTGAACTGTTTACAAAACTAATTTGATCTGAAATTGAGGGGGGGAATGAGTATCACTATTTGACTTTGCTATAATAAAAGGCCCGTGCTTGCTAAGAATGCAGAAAAAAGAAAGACAGAAAAAAGAAAGTTCTGTGCGTGCGTGTGATCAGCATACTCCGCTTTCTTTTAATTCTACTGCACAGTGTTAATATGAAAAAGACAGCAAGGTGACATCTATCTCCTGGCCAATATTGGCGTGAAGGCATCTCTTCAAACCTGGCACCTTGTCTCTGTACTCAAGGCCTATTGAACTGACCAAAATTATACCGCAGTTCCCACACCGGTCACATCCTAGGAACACGCGTGAACCCCTGGCTCCTTTTCCATCACTTCCCTGAACCCGGGCCTCTTCCAGAAACACCTGGAGTTTGCTGCAGTTCGATGTGTTCCCTGGCTCCAGCTTCCTTCGTCCCTGCCAGCTCGCTGTCTGGGGAATGAGGCTGCCTTACTGCCGATGGAAGGACCGCACTAAAGAGGCAATTAAAACAACTACTCACATCGTGTGCAAATATTCTGTCCCTCACTCTCTGATACTCCTCTTCTCTCTCTTCAATTGATTTACTTCGTCTGTCATCTCTAAATGGATGCATTCTGTTTTGCTGAACAGAAAAAAGAAATCAGGAGGGTTATCCAAGTCGAGTTGTTAGAAGTCTGCGGTTTAGCAACTGTCAGCGGAGGATAACAAATGTTCACTTAAACAAATGGAGCATGAAAAGTCTCACTCCTTCTGGTCCCTGAGGAAGCTGTGGGGGGTGGGCGGGGCATGTGTGCCGTGTGCGCATGACAAGCAATGCCAGGGCATGTTTGCTGGTTGCCTCCTTGCTGGATGCAAGTAGCACAGGTGTTTCTGAAACGGAAGTCCCTGGATGTGCCTCAGGTGTTCAGCCAGCTCAGCTATGTCACAGTTCACCAGTGATGGGCTCTGTCTCCTTTGCTAACCCGTGTGGTTTTGACTTCTTAGAAGGAGGCAGAGTGTCGGTAAAAATGGAAATGATGGCTAGATCAAGGTAGCTCAGGGAAGAAATGGCTTTGGAAACTTGGGGACTGGAGAAACCCAGCCAGGGAGTCAAGAAATAATGGGTGGGAAGGAAGATGTGGGCACTATTTCTCTAGATCCTATTTTATTTTTTTATTCACTGGATGACTGATTCTGGGAATTGCATCTGGCATAGGAAGCAGGAATTAAATTTGAAATGTGCTTGTTGATCGGGGTCAATATCGACATCTAAGGTACCATTCAAAGAACCCAGCATAAGGACTGCTCTTCTTCATCTAAACCACAATCTGCATCTCACCTACCCTCCCATCTTCGTCTTGCCATTCCTCACCAAATGCTCTGCCCTAGCCACGTTCATCCATCCATTCAACGAATCCCCACTCGGTACACGACACAGGCACATGTTTCAGAGTCAACTCGAGCCACGGAGGAGCTCGGAGGTGGGTGGTGGTGTCGGTGGTGGTGGGAGGAAATGAGATACAAATGATGAACAGCTTTCTTTCTTTCTTTTTTTTTTTTTAAAGTGCATCGGAGACGCACATACTGCCTTCCAGTGACTCACCGAGAGTAATTAAAATAATAACTTGAGTGAGATGCTTATTATCTTGCCCTTAAGGGTTTTAGAGCAAAGTCATTTTCAAAAAATCTATTCTGATTGTCAGAGACACAAAGTGTAATGGCATTTACATGACTTTCTACTGTTCTTTTTTGCATGTGAAACTTGTTTTCTTTTGCCATTTACTTAGTGTTCTCCCTAAATAGCTCTGGATCCCACACCATCTGAAGAAGAGATTTAGTAAAACATCTCCACCCTTATCCAGATACCATGAGTCAGGCTACCTACAACAGCACAATGTTTTATCACAAGCGAAATACACACACACACAGAGAAAGAGTTGTGCTACAGTTCATGCCAAACAAGCAGACAATTTACACAGACAATAAAACATGGGCAGGAGGAGGGTTGGGGGACTAAAACATGAACTTGGTTCTTTGCTGTGAAGACTGATTGTAGGGTAGTTGCAAAATCCACCTGTCCTCACCATAACAAGGTTTGTTCTTTACGGCTACACCGGGTGATCATCGGTCCGTTTTGATAATCCAGCTCAATTTGTGCACAACTGAAGGACAAAGCTGTAGGGAGTGGAAGGACTGCCATAGTTACACAGACATCTGCACACGCGACTGACAGAGCTTTTCCCAACAGCTTGGAGCCTGTGGCATCCCAACCCCCAACACATGCAGCAGGAACTGCGCCAAGCACCACCCATGCAGCCCAACACAGAGCCATGGCTAAAGCAACCAGGACGTGGGTTTCTGGCTCCCCATTGAATGCCAAAAGGGGAGGCAAGGCGGGCAAGGAGGTTGGAAAGAGGACGGTAGTATCAGAGGT